GTGCACGATTGCACCGATATTCGTTGAATAACGGGTTGCTATACTATAGCACCGATTCCACGGATACACCACGAATTGTGGTTCCTCATGATGAGGTTTGAAATACCGCATCCTCTATGAGGCTCACAACACGCCATTCAGTGGTTATCTCGGACGTGAGAAAACGTACAACTCTGTGAGTAACCACTACTGGTGGCCCAAGTTGGTCAAATGGACGAGCACCTATGTGTGCACGTGTGAGACATGTCAACGGGAGAAACCCGCTCCAAACGTGACTGCGCCGCTAGCCAGCTTACCAGTACCCACTGGGTGCTGGCAGTCCATGAGTTAGGACTTTGTGTTTGGCCAGCCAAAAATATTCGGCAGGCAATACGGGTGTCGTGGTATTCGTCGACCGGTTGAGCAAGATGGCTCATTTTGCGGCGGTGCCAGACACCATCGACGGGGTCGGTACAGCAACGCTGTTCGTGGATCGTGATTTCCGACAACACGGACTCCCACAGTCGATTGTCTCTGATAGAGACCCCCGTTTCACGGGAAAATTTTGGTCGATTATTTTCAAGGTGCTAGGCACCAAGGTAGATATGTCGACAGCGGATCATCCGCAGACCGATGTCCAACCCCAAAGGGTGAATCGCGTAATCGAAGACGTTCTTCGCAGCGTCTGCGCTGAGACGCCGAGGCGCTGGAGTGCCATGTTGCCACTCGTTGAGTTTGCACTGTTCAGTTCAGTGCATTTGTCTACCGGCTACACGCCGTATTACGTGAACGGGCTGATTCACCCTCGCGTCTCGCTGACGCCGCCATCCCATGGCCTAGGGCTTGGTGGACGAGGAATAGCCGAACGGCTAGCTGATGTCAACCCCCTCACCATCCGCAAAGAAGTCGATGACTTCTTATCTACCAGACTGAGCGTCCTACGGCACGTTCGCGATGCAATGGAAAGCCAAGGTTTGCAGAAAGAATATGCAGACGAAAAAGGAAGATGCAAAGTGGAAAGCTTTATGGTCGGGGACCTGGTTTAATTAAATTCTCAAAACCTGCCTACACATGCAGCATCTGCTGTCTTCAGAACGGAGCTTCGTCAACGGTTCATCGGACCGTTTAAGGTTGTGCCCAAGCGGGGCCTAGCGTATACGCTAAGCCTTCTAAAACGGATGCGCACCCACCCGGTGTTTTCGTGGGCTTGCTCAAGCCGTATCGGCATCCGGCGCATGGGAACGCGGAAGCGCTGGCGCCAGAGCGGATCTCACGGGCCCTCGGCCACCCAGAAACTGAACCAGCAACTGGTATTGAGCACGGAGTGCAACATCCTCCATCTCTAATGGAGCCAAGCGCCCCACTGTTGCCTGCA